GTTTCCTGATTAATGTTTCATGATGAACACAATCGAAGGCTTTGGATAGGTCACAGAACACACCCAAAGCATCCTGTGAATTCTCCCATGCATTAAATATATATTTAATCAGCTCAACACCAGCATCAGTTGTCGAGCGACCCCTTGTGAAACCAAATTGATTTTTATGAAGTAATTTATTTACATTAAAAAAAATTAACAATTGATCAAGAATAATTTTTTCAAAAATTTTACTAAGTGTTGGCAGTACAGAAATAGGTCTAAAATTAACGGGGTCCAATTTACTACCAGATTTAAATAAAGGTATTACTTTACTATGCTTCATTAAATCAGGAAACACACCAGATTTGATACTACTATTAAAAATAATAGATAGTTGAGGTGCGATTGTATCTATTATAGATTGAGTTTACTGATGACTAGTAGTGAAAGACCACGTCTCGACTTTTTAAGACAAAACTACACGAATTGCTGGTACTCTTTATTTTTCAAATTTTGAGAAATATAAACGAGACGCCTGAACCTCATTTTCTCAACGCTGTCCAACTGACTTGTATTCGTCAATCCTATCTTATTAAAATTTCTTATTTGTACTCGGTCAAAATAAAATATTTTTCCATATTTGTACAAAAAGGCGCGCGTAAAAAAAACTAAAATAATTTCTTATCGTTGGCCCGATTTTATACTTTTAATCTCATTAGCATACTTACTTGAACAAACGTTTGTCTTCATACGACATGACGTCAACCACTAGCAAAACACACACACACACACACAAGTAATAAGGACGAGGATTTAAAGCATAAACGAAAAATAACTTCGTAGAAAAAAGAAATAAAAAAATCATTTTTATTTCTTTATTGATTCTTTGATGCCGCGTAAACAATCAATGCCAACCCGCATTTTTACAATCGTCAATATTAAAATATGTTACCAATGGTAAGAAGCTAATACGATAGTTTAAATTAAATAAAAAGGATATTTTTTATTAATATGCTAACTTGGTACGCGGCGCATTGTTGACGCAGAAGAAATAATTGTGAAAATGTTTTATGTTTAGAAGAATTATATTGTTCAATTAGGTAAAACATTCTTTGGTGTTCAATAATATATGACTTTCAAATAAATTTGTCGGTACGGTACACGCGCCCACGTAAGTTAATTGTACTATGCCTTATAACCTTGTCGCAAGTGCAAGCAATAAGTTGACAAAGTGTCAGCACGAATAGATGAACGGCTATGGAAGCGCATAAAATACGAACAAACGAACATAAATTTTTATATATTAAGATTAAAGAATTAATTTAAAAGCGTTTTATTTTTCAGTTAACCAATATTTTTAGCGTTTTAGATTATCTATATTTAGTCAAACTTTTATTTATTTTCTAAACTAAAAAACGTTACAGATCTTATAGTGTATATTACACTAGCTTGCCAGGCAGACGTTGTTCTGCCCAGTTCGATGACCCTTTGTCATGTCCTATTAAAAAACCTTAAATTCGCAAAAAAAAAATTATCCTATATCCCAGCTGTACAAACTGGTGCTTTGATTAAAAGCGGTTAAGTAGTTTCAGAGTCCATCGCCGACAAAAAATTTTTTCAAAATCGGTCGAGTCGTTCTCAAGTGATCATCTTTCATACAATGGGCGAAAGGCAATTGATTTTTATTTATGTAGATAGTTTAAAATTATTGTTGGTAAGTTTCACTGCTGTGCATAGGCCTCTCTCATTTCTGAAAGGATTTATAATAAAAATAATAATCATTTATTGACAGACAACAAAGGTCCGTAAAAAACATAAGTACTTATAAGCAACAAAAATAAAAAATATTGAAATAAAGTAAAATTATACTGAAATACAAAAATAAATATAAACGAAATAAATGCCATCAAATAAATTAAAACTTACATCTTAATATTGTTACGAGCTTGAGGTTCGTGACAATAAAAATTGCCGATAGAATTACCTAAATTAACACTTTAATTTTCTTTACACAAATTAAAACTTAAAACACTAATAATTACGCACACTAATTCACTTTATTTCACTCCGAAGCTTCGCTTGTCTCGCCAAATTCAATACTTCCCCCGATCTCGCACCTTGCAGCGCCTATAAATACACATTAGTACCGAATCGCCACCAAGTTCCGCGCACCAATCAGAAAGCGCCGAAAGTTCGAGTGTCAGCTTCCAGAAGCTTAGTTCTTCGTTTCAACAACAGATGGCGTTGTCGGTTGAAAGATTAGTGATGTCATATTCTGGAAAGCTCTCCCCTCGCTCCGTTACCCGACACTAGATGGCGCTAGTGCCAGATGTCAACTTAGCCGCGCAACAATATGTTAGACCAAAATTTAAATATTTCATTACAATTTTGCGATAAAATTTGTATAATCGCGTTTCCAGATTTGAGAAGATTACTTATACTAACTGATACTAATCCGGGTACATGATGTCTTATCAAAGATTTTAGGGTAAAGAAATAACATTATAATTTAATCAAGCTTATAGAGTACATAACTACATACAAATTACATTTGTCATTAATTAAACGTCTAAATCTCAGAATAAATGGCATATTTTTAAAACAACATCGTAGTTGTGTCTACGCCAAAAAATATTTTGTGCATAAACTACGCTTGATTCCTCTCTACCGCTTATTTTTGTCGGCCCATGTCCATTACAGGTGGACAAATAACTTCCACTTATATTTTATAATATTTTAAATCGTCTGCATAAAGAATCCATTTTTTATTTCATAAGCGGATGTGATGTAGGTTAAGTCGAAGGAGTGATTCGGTATTGACGCTAACACTGAAACTATACTCGTAATATAGTAATTAGTCTGCGCCATAACGTAAGAGAAGGAATGCATAATTAATGGACATTTATTTTAAATTTATCGAATAATGAACTAGAATTACAAAAACATTAATACTATGAGATACCGGCTTTAGAAAACCTATCACTCTATTTCATCCCTCCGTGTCATAAGAAGCGACTCAATAATCGAACACTATTAATAAATTAATATTAATAAATTAATATTAATAAATTAATATTAATAAATTAATATTAATAAAATATTAATAATTGGTAGAGCCATGCTGCAGCTATATTATGTTTACAGAACGTATAAGTAGGCGCAATCGGGGAAGGACCACGCTCTCACAGAATACCAGCGTAAAATAGCAGCTTAATACTTCGTTCGTAATTTTTCGCGTGGTGAGTGTAGAGATCGGGAGACTTTTATTACTAGACTAGCTGGCCTGGTAGACGTTGATCTGTCCTTTCTAGTTGGAGGTGCGATGGGCTTCATTTTCATACGCACACTTTTCCATAGATTTATTACACGTATAGCTAAAGCTAAGGACAAATAAGACCATCACCAGTCATAATGACAATAAAATTTAAAAAAAGAAAAAACATAACCCTTTTATTATTACTCTTCCTTAAGCGGATAAATATGTTGCCTATACACGGTTATTTTAAACCTGCGTAAAATAGCAGCTAATCGCTGTTGTGCTTCGTATGGTGAGTGTAGAGAACCGGAGGTCCTTTTTACTGGAAACTAGGTATTCCATCTTAGTCCTCACGGGTGATAACGCATCTGCATTTTGATTCGTAGTCGAGGATAGATGTAGATGTCTATGGGCCACAGCAACCACTTACCAATCAGATGGACTGTGTGCTCGTTTGTCACCCTATCCTATGAAAAAAATTTACAGTCTACATACAAAATTTCATGGAAATCCGTTCTGTACTTTTCCTGTGAATCGTGAACACACAAATTTTCTACAGATTTATTATATGTACATATTTATTATACGAGGCATTCCATCTTAGCCCTTAAGGGTGACAACGCATCTGCATTTTGATTCATAATCGAGGTATATATCGAGTGACAAACAAGCACACAGTCCACCTGATGGTAAGTGGTTGCTGTGGCCCATAGACATCTATATCTATATTCGATTACGAATCAAAATGCAGATGCGTTGTCACCCCTGAGGACTAAGATGGAATGCCTTATTTCCAGTAAAAAAGTATCCGGTTCTCTACACTCACCATAAGAAACACAGCAGCATCAAGCTACCATTTTGCTGGTATTCTGTGAGAGCGTGGTCCTTGCCCGGTCGAGCTGACCCATGCGTGCTACAACTATACTACTAATATAACTGCAGTATGGATCTACCACGTAATATATATATATATTTTTATTATGGGTCACAGCATCCACTTCTCATTAGTTGAACTGTGTGCTCGCTTGTCACCCTTATTCTACTCGTATAATTAAAACTTGCTCCCTCGACTTCTCGTGTGGTCTGCGAAATTTTACGGAAAACTTTATTAAGTACTTGTCACGAAAAATGCTTAATGCAACCATTATCATTGTGGTAGTCACGCTTACGTGGTAGAACACCAAGTTGCAGCCGACCCATTCACGATGCAGCTATTGTATAACTGCACCGTAAATGGTGAAACCGAGGAAAGACCAAGTTGTCACAGATTACTAGCGTGAAATAGATGTAAAATGATAAGTATGGACGAGAGCCGGAGAGATCCTTTATATGGTTACGAGGCATTTTAGGAGTGATAACGCATCTGTATTTTGATTCTTAGTAGAGAGTAGGTGTAGGTGTCTATGGATAACCGCTAATTCGCCTGAAAATGACAATTCTGGCGATATTCTACATGCAAAGCGTGCCGTTGTTGATTCTAGTAACTTCGATGATTTTAAACACCATTTTGATTAAAAGGATCGATTTATTTATATCTGGATAAAATAACAATATGTTGGTAATAAACATGAGGGTGAAAAATGGTGAAAATGGTAAAAGCTTGTTTAGTCCTTTATAATTAAAAATGTGGATCTAACTGTTGGCTTTTTAGTATAGTCACAGAATAAATAACAGGTAAAGTTAGAACTAAACTTAGAGAGCGACAAAAAGAACTTTTAACACATATTCAACTAGGATTTTAAATTTTCTTTCTTGTTTGTAGATTTGGGACCTACGCTTCCGTGGTATATAAAAGTATATTGGGTGCTATATAACATCACCATTCCTGTCGCCTTTCTGATCACTGTCTTCTACTGGGTTGTATTAAAATCCGGTAAGTATTATATTTCTATATAAATATAATATTCAAAATACATTGCTCAGCGCCCATACAATGTTCGCCCCTGGAACCAAGAGCATCGGAAAATTGTGTGTTGTATTGTCGATCATTGGGAATTCACGGACGGATTTCATATACGATCTTATTTTTGTAGTGGACTAGCTGCAGAAAAGATATATTAAAAAAAAGTATCAGTTTTGAGGTGATTAATGTCATTAATCGAATAAAATACTTTTAATGTTCATTATAGCATACAGCTAGTCCGTGTTATTAAAGTATTTACAACTAATTTAATAAAATAAAAAAATTAATTATCGTGTATGTCCGATGCTTTTATTTAACAGGGCCATTTTGGACATTGTCCTTTCATACCTTCATTAAAACTTCGTAAAACTACTGTTAATAATAAGTTATTGAGTAACCGATCATATAAACCAAAATCTTTTTAAAATTATTTTTAATCCTATGATAAATATTTATTAAATTATATTAGATATATTAAATAATAATTAAAATTAAAAATAAAAACAAAAAATTGGCCATTATGAGTTTGAACATATTAAGCATATGTAGTTAAGTTTCTGCTGTGATTACGAATATTTGTTTTAAACGAAATTTTAAGTACCTACGCCATATTTTTAGTTACATTGTTTACTTATCGGTCTATTTAAAGCACTAAGTTATTTTAATAATTAAGCTTAATCGCTAAAAGTAGTTTAATTTTAAACTCCATCTAATGACGCTCTACTTGATATGTTAAGTCAAAAAATATTTCATCACCTATTCACGGTAAAAATCCATATTAAATTATAAAGGTTCCTTCTATATGAGTGAAAAATGTCAACGAAATACAAAATGTCTTGTTGTTGCTGATATTTTAATTTGAATTTATTAATAACTTGAACTTAAAAACAGTTTGCGAAATAAGTCCTTAATTGCAAGAATGCGGGAAAGTTGCTAACCTTACCACTAATATATCCTAAAGACTTATAAAAAAATGATCCAATAATATAAGGACAGTTAAAAAAATACTACAATGCGTGCACGATATGTATAGTTGAATAGGTGATTGATTACTAGATGGATGATCCAAGTAGGTGGAGCGTATCAAAGTCAAACTTACTTGACACGCTCCGACCGTTTGACATTTTACTTTACATGTGAAAAAAATTAAAATTTCATAATTTTTTATGTTTATTTAAAAAAAGTAACGTAAATTTACAGCCTATATACGTCCCACTGCTGGGTACAGGTCTCCTCTTATTTCTGAGAGGTTTTTAGGGCAAGGAAGTGTACGCCGCGCTGCCCCAATGCGTGTTGGCGAACTTCACATGTCTTCGAAACATTCTTTTTTATTTTTCAGACATGCAGGTTTCCTCACGATGTTTTCCCTCACCGCCGATTTCGTGGGAAATCAGCACTTAAAATCGCAATTAACAATTGCATTGGTGCTGGCGGGATCGAAACCGGGTTGCTCGCGTACTGTGAAAGTTACAGCGAGTACTTAGCCCCTGACTAACATGGATCTATATATTTTAATATCCTATGTTTATTTAATATCCTGTTTATATAAAAAATATTATAAATTTTATCATATTGACATAGTAAAATTTTTACTATGATATCATGACCACATTTTATTATATTGTAATAAATGTGTGTTATATCGTGATGTTTCGAAAGTTAATTATACCTATAAAGTTGCAGTCTTCTACAATTTAAATTGAATTCTACATGAAATTCGTTTAAAAAATGGATATTTATTTTTAAGTTGTAACTATGAATTTAATTACTCTAATGGATGTTGTTATTGTTTTATAACCGTGTAATCTATCCGGACCGACCGAGACAAAATAACTTTTTAAATTCACTAAAGGCGACCTAAGGAAATTCTAAAAAGTCTCCAATATCTAACGAAATATCATAGTGAAATGCATAGACCGATAATAATTTTCGCTAACGTGGATAAAACCATCTCATATAAATCAGATATAAAATAATAAAACCAGCACGCATGGTATCAGCTACGGGAAGCAACAAGGGTGCGAGATATTTATTTGATACTTTTTGTCAAGCGAGGCGGTGACATCAAGCTGTAACTATAGGTACTATTGGAAAGGCTATTTCATTGTTGAAACATTTAGAGGCTTTTGCGTGGCATGATGTAACATTTTCCATTTCCGATAACTCACAGCACCCGAGGTACTTATGAGTAGGTACCTGAATTGATAGAAGTCAATTATACAATTAGAATTTGACAAAAAAAAATCAGGGCAGCCATTTTTATCATACCTAATAGAATTTAATCGAAAATTAAACTAATCTTTAATTATTTCCTCTTTACAAATACAAATCTTCCAATAGATTTTATTTTCTTTAAATTATACAAGTGGTAAAAATAAAAATTTTGTATATACTTCAATGTTAATAAAATGAGAAATAAAACATATCATCAATCTAGTCAAAGTCACTTAAATATGTATTATTAAGGACTATTTAAAAACTACTGGTAAAACCTTGATCAAATTTATATGGGGCCATATGAGAAGACCAGCTTTCGAATAAAAAAGAATCATCAAAATCAGTTCACATAAAAAATATATAGTTGAATTGAGAACCTCTTCCTTTTTGTAAAGTTGTTTGAAATGGTAAGACACCATATTACCTTCACTTTTATTTCACAGCTGTCAAGAACATTAATTACGCTCCAAACCCAGTACTGGACGTGATGCTGCACGGCATCAACTCTATGGTGATGTTTCTGGAGCTAATGTTATCGGCGCACCCCAGCCGCCTTCTCCATATTATGCAGCCCTTGTACTTTAGCCTCGTGTACTTGCTGTTTACACTTATTTACTACAGTGCGGGAGGACTCGATCCGTAAGTTATTTGGTATTAATTCTCTGTGCATTTTTATTAATGGTAGATCTATGAAATAATGATAATTTAAACTACTGATTTTATTTAGAATAAAACATTAAAGTCTTGGTATTCTATAGACTCGTAAACGAGTCCGGTGGGTCTAATGGTCTTTAGAGCGACTATTGATCAAGGGGTATCGGGTTCGAATCCCGCACCTCCTTTCATCGAATAGTATAGAATAGTGTCATAGTCCCAGACACGACTAACGAAACTGAAATTTCGATATAGGTAAATTCATGTTTTTATCTTGAATTTGCTTGCTCAAAAACACGATTGTATAATTTTGACTCGATCATAATTATTTGCGAAAACACCTCTAAAAATCACTATAGTTGAAATTAAAAAACAAAATTACTTAATCTATATGCTTGGGAATCACTCAAATATATTCATAACGTCAATATTTGTAATTTAGTTGCGCATTATTATGTTCTATATACTTATGTGTTATATACTTAATTCAATAATTTTTTTAAAAACATTTTAAGATTCTGACAATTTCTAAGCGGTATTAATCGTCGCGGACGCTACCCAATTTTAGACCTTATAACGGCGTTTAAAAGTTTTATAGAAATTATATACTCACTTAGGCCAGTCCGGCGATAGGCCGCTACAACGGTGGACCTGCGTAAGACATTCGCTTGTGCTCTCTATTATTATTATAAATAGCTATAGTTATACAATAGGTTTATTATTATAATAGGAAATTATTATTAGCATAAGTAGGTACTTAAATAATTTGTTTGTGGTAATGGGAAATACTAAGAAATAAGTATATAGGAGAAATCAATTGTATAATTTTTGTTGATTGTTGTATAGTTTAAAAAGGAAAGAGCAATTTGAAAAAAAATGTTGAATGATGGTGGCGAACAAGTCAAGGTAAATAATAGCATTGTAAATATTTTGGTACGACTTTCCATTGACGTCCGTCGAATTGAGGGGAGAGGGGGGTGTAATACCCCCCCCTTAAAAATAAAAGTTGCGGAGACCCCCTTTTCGAGTTTTTTTCATTTTTAATTCTGAGAAAAATTTCCTCGTTTTATTGATTAAGTGTAAAAAACTAGGAAGATACCTTGGGGGTGGGGGTTCTCCGCTACGGAAAGGGAAACTCCTTTCATCAGAAAAAATAGGGGGACTGATTCAGAGGGATTTCTGAGTCTATTTTGAAACTGATACGTGTCTAGATGAGCCGGCGCGGCTGAGGCTGGTCGCCGAAGGCGACCTAACAAATCTGCATCGAAGCTGCGGCGAGGCGAGGATGACGGAGGCTGCTCTCCCTACGCGCCTCCACCTCATAAAAACACTCTAGGGGTAAGACAGACTCGTACCAAGTGGAGTCGGGGTCAACCAATTCGGTTCTTTGACATAAGTCAAATCTAACCCACTTTACTTGTTATCTGCCCTAGTAGGTACTTTTAAAATAAAAGAAATCAAATAAAATTCGTAATTTATTAATCAATTTTATATAGGTACATATTGTATTGCTTTAATTAATTCTTCGAAAACATCTTTATGTGCTATTTTTATTTTTCTTCGCCAAGAATATTCAATTAGCCAGTCTGTAAAGTTTGCTTTATAACTTTCTCTACCGAACATCACTTTTAAATTTCGCCAGTGGCTTTCTATTCGTTGTGTGTGTGCCCCATCTGGTGCCACAAATTTATTTATAGGGTCGCTGTGATTAACCTTCTTATGTATATATCCATATTGAGATAGGCAATCATAGGCTCTCCAAAAATCGGTATGGATTTCAGTCCCTACCTCCACATGCTTTTGTATTAGTGGCACCAACATTTCTTCAGATCTATCATTATCGGGACACACTTTTAATGGCTTTCAATGTGTTTCCCTCTGTTGTACTTTCTTTTTCCAAATTTTGATTCGTCTATTTGCACGATTTTGCCTGGACCACCAATATTGCCGTTAACTTCTTGGTGCTCCAATTCATAAACAACTACTGTCTCCCGGCAGTAAAAAAACCAGTCAGTTATTGTCCTTGTTGATAAAATTGTTTCTTTATCTTCACGGGCTGTCTTTAATTTTACTTGATGATAACTATACTTTTGGCTGAACATATACATCAGTGAAAATTGTAACTCGATGGACAGCCGCGCATTCTCGAACCGCGCAATGTTCCCGCTGCCCGACTTACTGCCTTAGAGCGACAGTTACTCTTCCTGCATCGGAATATGCCAAGCTGACCAGTCTTACTGCTGGAGCTTAATGCCTTAGGTCTCCTATGATATGAGCACATTTTTTCTGTAGGAAGGAGCCTATGCTCTTCAGCAAATGCAATGCACTGAGCTGGGGTGTTGAGCCGGGTTATGATTATATACATATTCCAGTGGCACCTAAAACAAGCAAAAATATTCCTATTAGAAATCTAATTACTGCTTTACTCGTCAGCTTTTTCTGTGAAGTTTACATATGTGGCTATATAAGAAACCACGGTGAACCAACCTTATTTCCTCGGCATAGTAGTGGACTCTTCGGCCAGACGAACCAGGAGCTCGAGGTTCCGCATCACCCACGCTGCTCTCAGATGCCGTCGGAGACGCAGGCGGCAGTACCGACACGGTACTGGGAACAGTGGCGCGGGAACTACCAGCTATTAGTTTCGATAGCACAGTCATATGCACAAGTGGCTCACTAGAGTCCATCACTTGCACACACGGGGGGGCCTGCAGAAGAGCTCGCGATAAGTGGCTCATCAGATTCCAACACTTTCACTACTCATTTAAGACGGCACTTACGGGGCGGGGCTCGTAACAAGTGGTCATTGAGTCTTGCACTATACTGGATTCTTCAGACGGCACAGCAGAACAGGAAACTTGGGGCTTCGGAGACGCCGTGGTGGTAGTCAAACGTTGTTTTCACCGACAGGAGTACGTAAACGATCTCAACTGCTAGGGACACAAACAATGACTGAAGATGACACTGACAACTCAAAATAGGGTCAGTTTTACATTTCGTTCCACAAGCCGGCAAAAGTACACACACGTAAACACTGCACATTTTAATTTTAATAGCTCTTAATGAAAATAATTCTGTAATTTAAATATAAACTGTTAAATATATGTGCATGCATGAAAACTATTAAAATGGTTACAAAATATAATTATTTACGTAAATTTATATAAAATGAAACGTTACCGAACATATGACAACTTAACCGTACTTAAAACGGAACATTCAATGGCGTGATATATCTGTAATTCGATATAATTTATGGTAGGAATTGACATAAATATTGCAAAAATTATTGATTTTCAATAATTTTTTTTCTCAAAAACTACGCGTTTCCGCATGTTGAAAATTTGCATGTGTGCTTATATTAATGTCACCTTTCTGTAAAAAAAAATAACCCCCAACTCGACGGACGTCAATGGAAAGTTTAGCCAATATTTTTTACCTAATAGCATTTTAGTGGCACGTATGTCTGTAGTTAATTATAAAGAACATTACCTGCCTACCTAGATTCAGTATGATTCAAGCAACTTTACAAGGGAATAGAGGACAAAATCTTATATAAATAAAATAAGCCTCTGCATTATACGTATCTGGGTATGATTTTTTTATAGGATAGGGTGACAAACGAGCACACAGTCTACCTGATGGTAAGTGGTTGTTGTGGCCCATAGACATGTACATCTATCCTCGATTACGAATTAAAATGCAAATGTGTTGTCACCCGTGAGGACAAAGATGGAATGACTTGTTTCCAGCAAAAAAGGTCTCCGGTTCTCTACACTCACCATACGAAACACAGCAGCATTAAGCTATTATTTTACGCTAGTATTCTGTGAGAGCGTGTCCTTCCACGGACGAGCAGGCCCATTCGTGCTAAAACTACTAATACATATAACTGCAACATGACTCCACCACGTTAAATGACACTTGAATCATTAAGTTTTCTACACGTGGTTGCTTATAGTTGCATTTTAGAGTTATTTTTTGCAGGAATAAAATTGAATGAAATTTGACTAAACGCTACCTATATAGACAGAATCCATATACTGGCCGTATATCTTAATCGAGAGTTCGGACTCTACACTCTTGTTATATCAACTATAAGCTTGCCTGCTTCAACCTAGGCTTTGTACGTCGGTGGAGGTCACATTCCGTTGGTCGATATACAACGCAATAGGCACTATTAGGACAGTAATCCGATGGAGATGCTGTGACTGTGCTCTAAATTATTTTTCTAGTGAATTAAGAGTTTTTTTTTCTATTATTGCAACCTCTAATTTTGGAAAGACTGTCAAAAGAATTAAAAACCAACAGTTGCGCTAGTACAGTAAAAATATAGTAGTTTATTCATAGACAAAAATCATCTATTTTTAAGAGCAACGCCTGACGGTATTATAGGAAGTAATACCCTGTTTGAAATCAAATGTCCCATATTTGCATACAAGGTTGGTATTGTCGAAGTCATAATACAAGAAAAAATGCATTTCTGGCGGGTAAATAAAAAAGTGGTGTGATCTAGGTGAACAAAAATCTTGATTGGTACATGCAAGTTCAAAGACAGATGCATATTTCTGAAATACCTAAATGCTTATTGGCACTATGGTATAGACGTAATAAAATGAAAGTGGAAACAATACTTTATGAAGACCAATTTTGGAAGGATAAAATGGAACCAAAATTACTTTTTTTATTTTCACTGCTTTCTACCGGAATTAGTGGAACCGCGACTTACTCGTAATAAACAAATTCGGGATCCAAATAATGTATCAAAAAAAGAAAAATAAAGAAAATGTGCATAATGGTCCTAAAAAAGAAGAGGAATAAAATATCATTACAAACGTAGTTACAAATACTGTTATAAAATAATATCAGTTTAAAAAAATTATTATTTCAATAAATAAAAAAATATAAACTTTGTTGATTTCTCTTTTGATAAACTAACATGACGACAACAACAATGACATATACAGCTACATTTTATTATATAA